TTGGGTCTGCCGGACTTACCTAGACCCCCAAGGTCCTGAAGTGTAGTTCCTCTTTGTGGTTAATAGAGAACCCTAAACCCTAAACCCCTAAACCCTAAACCCTAAACCCTAAACCCAAGAAGCCTTGCCAAACATTTGCCAAGTTATAACATACCCCGAAGTTGAAGGCTCCCTTTTATGACCTTTGCGCATATTCTCAGCCCTAGCCACAAGATAGGACATCCAAGAAGTGGTACTACTTTCCAAGCCAAGCGCCAAACCCTGTATCAACCCTAAACCCTATAAGCCTTGAATCCTAAACCCTACACCATAACCTACACCCTAAAACCTCAACCCAAACCCAAAGCCCTAAAGCCTAAACCCTAAACCCTGCATCAACCATTGGGACTGAGGCACGGCACCTACCGCCGGCACTTTGAATCAATCCGCAAGGCCGCTGTGCGAGCTTTTGACTGTATAGGGTTTAGGGTTTAGGGTGTCAGCTTACGGTGGAAAATTTTGCCGCTTGACTTAGTAGAGTAGAAGGTCGAGATTGTGGCGTGTAGAGTCTGTTGCTTTCGAGCTTTCGGATTTCGGGTTCGAAGGTGCAGAGCTGTAGGGTTTGAGGGCTTCCGGGGAACGGAGGTCTGGTAAGTTGAGGGTTCGGGGACCAGGTCCTAAACCCGAAACCTATGAGCCTCAATCCAAAGGTCCAACATCCGATCGTCTAAAGGCCTTCGAACCCAAACGCGAAGCCACGACGCCACACAGTTGGTGTAGAACCGGAGAGGATGCTGGCTGATACATTCGTGCAAAACCCTAGCCACAGTTGCAGCCCACAAAGGGGCGCAGGAGTCCGTAGAGATGCATCCATAAAGGGTCGGTCCACGCAGAATGAGTGTCCATCGTACTTTACGAAACACCGCTGATGAGAATCTCATGAGCTCTTATCTTCAAACTCCAGAAGCACCAGGTGGGCTTGTTGGCCGGAGGAGGTCAAGGCCTTCAATTTTTCCATCCAGATTCGAGTTTGGGGTTCAGGACTGGCGGATCGGGATTTAGTGGGTTGAGGGTTTTTTGACCCTAAGGTCTTACTGTAATGCATGCATGCACTCGCATGCATGCATTCCTTCACTCACACATTAAGTAACCCATTTACTTTGCTTTTTTCGTTCTCACAACGCCAACCCAAACAATACACTTCCCTACATTGCACTTCACTGCAGTACATTCCCTTACATAACATCACATCCTTGCAAAGATGCATACATACACATACATGTTACATACTATACGACAATACATCCATACGCTTATGCAGACACACATCCATACATACCCTCATGGGGGGACAACGGCGCCATTCGAAAAGGACGTTTACATCGATTCTACTGCACTTGTCACAGGAAACAGTCTTCGTCTTGGATTTGTTGAAGGCATGTTTTTGCGTTTTAGGCTGGGAGATGCTTAAACATGGAGTTTTGGACACGCCAAGCCGCTTACGGCCTGCTGAGGCTGTTAGGCGGGAAGAAGTAGATTGAAAATATCACTGGCGTAAATACCGAAAGTACCACGCCTACCACACCACACAGGGTTTAACATAGGATTGAGAATCTACTGAAGCAACGCGTCGTGTGACATGACATGGTCTGAAATGATAGGAGATGACATGATATGGTATGACATGACAGGATATGGTATATCATGGCATGGATGGACATGTGATGATGTGATTTGGCATGTCACACGACGGGTTGGTTCAGCAGATTCGCAATCCTGTGCAAACCCTGTTTCGTGTGACAGGCATGGTACTTTGGGTATGTTCGCCAGTGCGCTGGCCAGTGTTACTTTCAATCTACTACTTCCCGC